TGGCTAAGAAAACATAAACTGATAATTATTCTAAACAGTCTGCTCGATATTAACATTATATTCCACGATGGATTGAAAGTGATGAATAAACTGCTGATCTTTATGCAAATTCGTATTCTTATTAATAGAAATCAGAGCTTTGTAGAGATAATGCATTGTCCCCTAAATATAATAATTCGTATCTTATTTTATATTTTATATTTTTGTATATTAAGTGCATTCTGTAGTTTGAGAATTAAAATTATTCGTAAATGCATAAACATCCGTAGTGATGAATAATGAAAATCAGACTTTGGAAGATTAAAAGGTTGAAGCAATAAAAATAAAGAAGACTCGTCACAATTATTAAATTCGATCAACGTTTAGTTGTCGTATACGAAATCGTAAAAGGGGAAGAGGAAACCGTGAAATACCTGTTACCCAAATACATCTACCCCCCAAAAATACATCTTACTCAAATTACCCATAAATGCATAAAAATTCGTAGTGATGGATGATCAAAACCAGACTTTAGAAGATTAAAAGGTCGAAGCAATGAAAATAAAGAAAACTAATCACAATTATTAAATTCGATCAACCATCCGTTTGGTTGTTGTATATGAAACCATGAAAGGAAGAAAGGAAACCGTGAAATACCTCTTACCCAAAAGAAATACACTTTACCCAAATTACCCATAAATGCATAAAAATTCGTAGTAATGAATAATCAAAACCAGACTTTAGAAGATTAAAAGGTCGAAGCAATAAAAACAAAGAAGACTCGTCACAATTATTAAATTCGATCGACCTTCCGTTTAGTTGTTGTACACGAAATCGTGAAATGGAAAGAGGAAACCGTGAAATACCTCTTTCAATAACGGCTCGATAATGCTTCCTACTCGTAACTTAAGGAGATTTAACGAGTGCACGGGCCAAGGTGGCCCCGTCCCAGAGATTTATACGAAGGGACAAGCGAAAGAGCCGAAGAGGGCGCGAGGGGTTTCGGGTTTCCTCGCGGGGTCCCAGCACGATGGCTGCCGGTGCCGTGGAGCCAGCGGTACATTATTTCTTGATGTCAAATAAAGCAATTAGCATGTGCCCTGACCAGGGTCCACGGGTTCTAACCCGAGTAATCTCACCGGGGTCCCCGGCGTGTGCGACATCTTCATCAGAGACAGGACCCTCCCTCTCCTTGCTCCGGCGCTTTCTATCCTACCGCCCCCTTCGTCGGACGATACTCCCGCTCGCGTGACTATCCAGCACCCCCAGAGACGAAAGACTGAACGCCCGGAGAACAAGGGAACCAGAGAGAGACAGACACCGAAGTAGAATTGGAGTAGAGAATAGGGTATGAATGGCGAAAAGGCGACGCGTCCAGCCGGTGCAGCCGCTTCCAAGGGAAATTTCACAAAGGCTGACCCGTTGCTAATGAATGTTATATAACCCTTTTAATGCTTTAAGCCTCTTAGATTTTTCAGAGAGCCCTCCACGCGCCTCCTTCTACCCCGGAGGACTCTTTCCTCTCGCGGTGCACCAGAAGTGGCCTGCCAACGCTGGAGGAGAAAAAGAACGAGGGGGGTCGTGCCTCGGGGGTAGGTAATTATGTGGCGGACGTAAATTAAGCTTGTTTAGATTGGGATTTTTATTAAGGTCCTTTATGAAAGAGTGCCGCCACTAAATAGCGCCCGAACACTTTATCCCCCGGCATTCCTTTAAAGGCTGCTTAAAAACGAACGACACCGCTTTTCGATATAAAATTTAAATCTTTTTACGACCGTTCGAGCCGCGTTTATTAGGGCAAAGTTCTCGGGATTGTCTCACCGTTGAAATTGTTGTTATTGTTTAATAAGAAAGTATATGTCATGGTTGGGGAAATTTCCTCCGAGGAACCCAAAGAAACCGTAACCAACGATCAGGAACTACGTATATAAAGGCGAAGCAGGATGTACGCTCCAAGGTGTACGGAAGAAATAACTAAGGGTTAGTTTAATGGTGCTTTAGGAGTCGAAGGTTTTAACGTTTCCGTTGTCCCCCATTTACCGAGGGTAAGAAAGGACTGCAATGGGTCCCACAGATAATAGGAAATCCAGTTTGTTGTTATATTGTATGGCTGGAAATAAAATCCTATTAATTGACAAGATAATACCTATATGCCTTTAATTTCGCTCTCCCAAAACTTCTACTGTTTACAGATACTATATAGTGATCCATCAACTAGTTAGCTCTTTCAACTGAGTTTGGCATAACATAATTTTCCAGAACCTGAACACATTTTGATTTGAATAGTAAGTAACAAATAATAAATGGAAATAAACTTTTACTTCATATTATTTTACTCCTTCAAGGTATAAAAATATAGGTTCATTATTCGCTTGAAATTTGATTAAATCCTTACTTGAAAGGACAATATTCTATTTAATATTTAGAAATAGACTTAAGAATAGATTTTTTTGAAATACAAGTTACTAATCATAGTAAAGGAAAGAAATAAGTTTGCACAAATTTTAATTACAGGCTCGTGTGTTCGATCGATTTTGAAAGGTACTTGGAAAGCAACGTCTCCCAATTGAGCAAAGTAATTTTTCGTTAATTTTAGTTGACCTCTAACGAAGGGCCATTGCAGCCCAGCAAACGAGTAACCAGCTTCACGGTAAGGTTTGCGAGGTGAACTTCGAAAAGCAGTTCGCAGGTACAAACTGTTGGCTATATATTGGAAATACGCATGCCTTCGGAGCAGCGGGTGGAGAACGAAGTTCTCGGTAGAAGTTTAATTTAACTGGGCGGGCAACCGGGCGTAAACGCTGAATGATTTGTTGCAAATCGCAAACGCTCGGGTGCACTTTTGCACAGGAATCGGAAAACGGTATCTTATCTGTCGCGTCGCGATCACGCCAACGTCACAGTGTGTATCCACGCGTTTTAGAACTAATTGCTCCTGTACGCTGCGAGCGGGAAACGTGAAAGGTAATTACTGCAAGAAACATCATTTTATTTGGTGAACTTGTATATACGTATCAGGTTAATTCACAAATCTTTGAATATCTTTTTACAAGTAAATTGTATTGGAAGAAACTGCATATAGGCACAAAATATGTGTCTGTTTTCTAAATCGTTAATAATTTTGATTTTCGTAGAGCTGATTTTCTATGAATTTTTCTTACATTCAGAACATTGCACTAAACTTGTATTTCGGCTTTATAATTGAGAAAAAATTTCTATGAATTTATATTTTATCCGTAATGGTTCGTCAGCAACAGATCGTATAATTACCTGTTTTATGAAATTCCGAAAGGAAAGTTTACCTCGATACATCAAAAAATGGATCAGAAAATTACGTAATAAATTTTGACAAGACTAAATAAAAATTAAAAGATGTGAAAATAATTATCATCGATGAGAAACGTTTCGAAAAACTGGAGCACGGTGTGTGTTAAGATGCATCGTACAATTCGAGGCGAGCATATTTCTGGCGAGACTTCCACGCGAACGAAATAATCGATAACAATTAACGAGCGCCGCGACGGTTGCCGTGGATTCCGCGAGCGTCTTGCGAAGCGACGTCCGCCTTCGAGTATCGAAAATCGAGAATCGACGTTGATTTTCTCGGATAGCTTTCGCGAGGCGAGGTCGGGTGTATGCTTGCTCGTTCTCTCGATTAGGCTTTGCCGTCATTAAAAGTTTATAAAGAAGCAGAGCTAGCAGCCGGGGCACGCCGACGCCAGGAGGAACGAAGGTGGCTAGAGGGGGGGAGGTAGGGGGTTGAAGGGATCAACAGCCCCCTTCGTCGAGCGGGAGGGCGTAGCAGAAGAGAGCCAGACGACGTCGGAGCGATCAAGAAGGAAAGAGATTCCAAGCTAGTTTTCTCATGTGCAATGCATAATGAGGAAAGGCAGACGGCGCATAAAGGGCCTACAAATGAGGCTCGGGTTATACATATACATCCCGTAACCAACGCGTACAAATACAACACACAAACGCCTACAGACGGGCGTGAACGACTTCATGTATCTCCTGGCCCCTCAGGTTACAGTGTTACCTGACTTCTAAACGCGCAACGACGCTAAAAACTTTCCCCTTTGATTTTAGTTATCTCTCCCCCCTCCAACTTCGGAAACGATGGACTCGTAAAGTTTTTCGTTAATCTTCCGCTTATGCAGTGCTTGCGTTGCATCGCGCGATGAATTCCTCTGTGGGTTAGTATTTCAGACGCCATTTTGTTAAGTAGCGACCCCTTGGGGTATTTAACTATTTTCAGACTATATTCTAGCTGGTCGAAGTTGAATTCTATGATACATGATTATTTCGTTAACCCTTTGTCGTACAATGTCAGACTCGTCATAAATTCTTTGTGTCAAGTTTCACGATGACAAAGCTACACATAGAAGTCTATTAAAATTAACACAGTTTTATATCTGCATTTGTAAAACAAATCTGTTCTCTTTTCTGAGCATTGAAGCAAAAGAAATTTAAATAAAATTAAATAGTATACACTTGAAAAATTACGTCAAAGGGTTAGTGGACCATATTTACAAATTTTCAAGATACATAGTCGACTCTTTCGTGAAACGCTTTGTACTATTAACCGTAGAACGTTATAATTCATAGTGCACTTCGCGTACTTCAAAATTTTCCGCGAGTTCTCGTAGATTTCAATAGTGGCCTAGAATGTGAATCGTAGAGCAATTATGGCTCTATCAATGGATTTTGACTCGTGAAAGCGTTGTTGATTGCTTGGCGCAGGCTACCGAAGTAACGGCGAGCAAAAGTACGAGCACGCTATGAGCGAGGCATGTTGCATGAAAACCGATTAAAGGTGTTGGATCGATCTTCCCTAGTAACTGACTCGCCATATTTGCTGACGGAAGGTGCAAATCGTCGATCGAGTTGGCAACTGCGCACGACTCTCCTTATGTACGAGATAAATACGTCGCTCGAGGTGCGTTGCACCGGATTTAATGCCACGAACTAATCGAATTTATTCGTGATTAAGCGACCCGGGCGTGTGAAATTTTTTCGCTTACCTTGTTCATGATTTGGCGGGGATAGTCCCGCCTTGCGAGGGTCGACTCTGCAACAGAAAAAAATTGTACGTTAGTGGTGTTGTTTCAAATATAACATCAACACAGATAGTCGATCAGAAATTGGGATATTTAATTTTAAAATTGAAACGAGTAAATATATTGGTTATTGAATGATACGAGTTACAGATTTGTTTTAATTAACGTAATATTAGGCAAAATCGACGAATAATTAAATTCACTCGATAGTAAATGAAATAGAATTCACTCCAGGTGCTTTTCACCTATAAAATTAGGTAATCTTTTTATTTTGTACTTCGTAACGTTATTAATGCACACGAAATTAGTCCTCGACCGTGCACCCAGTCTCGCATCTCCAACGACCCCCTACCCCTCGCACAATCTTCTCCGCCATCCCTTAAACGGGGTACCACCGAATTCCCGTAATCTAATGAATGGCCTAACCCCAATATCCTCTCGGTTCAGCCTCACCGCCACCTACCCTCTATGTGCCAGAGTTGTATGTAACATGCACGTAAATATGTTCACGGACGAAAGACTCTGGGCGATTTCTTTAAAACTCCGCAACCCTCCAGCGATAATTAATTATTCTGACGTTATCGAGAGCGGTCCCTCGATGCTTACACTTTGATTTAACCGGGACGATCGAGGCAATTACTATTCGCAGATCGTTACGAACGAGAGGACTTTGCACGCAGATAACGAGAGAAAGACCGCTTCTGACGGGTCCAACCTGAAGTCTTTCAAAAATACATGGGGGCAGGGGCTGAAGAAATTAGGATTATTTTGCTAAGCCGAAGGTTTGTTTATTAGGCATAGGTGGGCAAAACTTAATACGAGTAATATATAGGGAATAAAATATTTTTACCGTAGATTTTTTTTATTTTTAAAATTATTAATAATCGTAATTCATCCAGTGTTTAGAATCTAGGACACCCTTTCAGGGCAATGAATTTTTTAAGTAAAAGATGATTCAAGAATATCCGTGCAATAGTTCGCATGATAATGAAAGATCATAAATCACTATAAATTAATAATCCTAATAATCCAGTCAGGTGGTAGGCGTCTGACCGGATGCAATGTGCACAATATCGAAAGTAAAACGAACAAAACAGATTGCACGGCTGTTAACCGATATAGGAATCTGCATACACGGCGCAATTCAAATTTAAGCTCACTTCCTCGGAACAACGGTTAATTACTCGACGTGGAAGGCGAAGTTCTTTCGGGGGCCAGAACGAGGGAGGAACAAGGCGTGCTCGAGGCGAGGCTGCACAGCAATCCGCCTCGCGAGAGGGCAAGGAAGCGCAAATGTGTTTATTTTCGGAGAATAATAAAAAGGGTCGTCCAGCGGCCGTGACGACGGGCGATCGTACCAAAGTTGGGAATAATGTTTCGGACACGACGCTCGTCTGGCTTTGCCCCGTCGCTACACCCACCTACACCCACCCCGTTCCTCCCTCCGATCTCCACCAGCCTACCCTTATACGCGTGTCCGCCGCAGATTCAGACTCCTAATTAAGACGAGGGTGCGAGAGGGGTTTCAGGGGTTTCTCCCGGGTTCTCCCCGTAGGGAGGTGGGAGGATGTGGGCGAGGGTAGCAGGAGGGTTTCCACGAGGTAAGGGGCACCCGTACCGCGCCGGAGGGGTAAGCCAAGGCAAAGGGGGTAAGGAATATTGATCACGGGACCACCACGCCGGCGAGGCAGGGACTGCCCGTACCCTTCCTCTCTCTCTCTTTCACCCATTTCCTCTCTCTCTCTCACCCTCACTCTGGCCTTCTATCGTCTTGCCTCGTGTAAGTGTGTCCCACGCTATCCCACGTAACCGTTTGCCGGCGTCTTTCGTTGTTCCTCTCGTCGTGCAAGCAGCGCGGACCAGGCCAGACTAAACCACCAAACGCCAGATGCGTGAAATCAGTCGGTTAGAGGCTGCCCCGCAGCCTTTGCGAATTATTGACGCTGAAACCGCGACCGTGGAACAGATGATGCTGCGAGCTATTCCGAGAACCCGAGCCTTCGGGACGAACGAGCCACCGGGACGCCTTCCTAGAAGTATAACGAATACGAACACCCTCGGAGAAGGGTTGGCTGCGACACCTTGCTCGCTGGGCTGACGTCTCGAGGTGACGACGTAATTATTTCGCGATTACGGAGAATCTGAGTCCCACTCGCTTGCGGTCTTTCGAAGCAATATTCTACATCACCGTGAATTATACTGATACGGCAGTGGGGGCTTTCGAACGTATCGATAGAAATCGCAGTTAATAATGTTTGACTCGTATTATGTTACAGTTACTCCCACTCGCATTCGTACACTATCATGGTGAGTTGTTATAAATGAAAGGAAACTTGTTTTTTTACGAATTCTTTCCATTTATTTTTACCAAATGTTATTTATTATACCGTACTATTTCTATTTATGAAGTAGTTTTTTAAAAATGTTAACCCCTTGACTACAATGACGAGTTTGGCGCAAGTTCTTGATGTCAAGTTTCACAATCATGAGGCACTCGTCGTCAAGTTCTATATATTAAAATCGACACATTTTTACATTCACAAGGTACTCGTAAAATATGTTTATTCTTTTCGTGGCCATTCATTCTACGAACAAATTTAAACAAAATTAAGTATACGTTTTAAAAATTATTTATAATTAAATCGTACGTTAAGGGGTTAACAGGCTAGTTCAATTACAAAACCGATGGAGAGGTATAGTATAACTATTATATAATGATAATATCAATAACAATACGCGATTTTCCCAAATGGTAACCCATCTTAGTATTGACCCAACCCAATGATGCTTGACTTCGATGATCGGACGAGAACTGCGGTTTTTAACGTGGAATATTAAATATCTCAATGTATGAAAAAATGGAGTTTCAAAAACAATGGCTCAGTTCGTAGGAAACAACCTTTTCCTCATTTATAGTGAATCACCGTTATAATATACGAATACCAATGGAATTAATTATATATGAATAAATGGAAGTTGCTAACTCTTGGAACTCTGAAACGATTGTTCGTATCATTACTTTTTTTGTACCTTCTCTAATTATTAAGCTAATTTTATTATATGGAATCGTGACCAAAGAGGCACGTTCGGTTTGTACAATATTAAATAGAATTATCAATCTATAGTTTTAGGGTAAGTTATTCATATAACATATATGAGGAGGTCATGTCGAAGCCATCAATCAAAAATTCCTAAAAATTGTACTATTCATCTCGTGTAAAATATTTTTGAAGTACCATTTATTGATTTAACGAGAATACTAATGGTCGAAAAGAATGAAAAGCGACATGGTACAATAGCGTTCTGATTTTCTTCTCATAAAAATAAAAAACAATACAATAGCAATTTCTATGTTCCCAATCTGAGTTTGAAGCTCTAAATGCAAGTAATGCAATTTCTAGACGCGAATGACGTGAATGCACTTTGATGACATGGAAATAGTCTTGGCACGAACACCATAGAAAATTTTGTCGCGCAACCTTTCGGGCGAAAATTATTATTGGAACGAAGGTACAAATTATTGAAAAATTAATTAAAATTACGGAACTGAAAATTCATTTCGAAACCAAAAAAGAAATATGCCCGACCGCATACAATGTTTAATTAAGAATAAAGGCAAGCTTACAAAATATTAAATTACGAACTCAAGCTTAAGCAATGTTTCGCGATTCTGGTGCAAACGATTAATTTGTTTTAATTTCTTTCTATTGTCTGGGCTCTCTGGCATTTGATATCTACTTTTTTACGAAATTTTAGATTGAATTATTTTTCATTTTGTGACCTTCTTATATCAAAACCTTGTGCTAAAGAAACATGAAATATAATTCAATAGGCATACAGATGGACGCTAAACGGGTTACAGGAACACCTTGTTACAACATAGAACAATCAGAACAAATCATATTAGTAAATTTAATTTATACTGTGATTAATCTGATCCACTCCCTTTGCTCTTGAGAAACCCTACAAATATATAGCGAATGGTAGAGGTTCGAGAACTATTCTACTACCTTCCCAGAATTAATGTAAATCCATAAAATAATTTTATCGGAAGAAATCGATTTTTCTTCCGGTGATTACACTAATTTTATTCAATTTTTCGGCAAACTAGAGCTTGAAATTCTCGAGCAACGACGGTTGCGTCGCGATCGTTCTGTGCAGGTGAAGTCAGCCCGACGGGAACGGCTTTGTTCCCGCACGGGGTTCGTGCAATGTCGAAGAGAGAAACAGGACTGTCGGACGAAACTTCTGCTCCCTGAAATCGGGGGTGGCCTGACGAACTTTGACGCACACGCTCGGCCGAACAGATCTACGCCGTAGACGTGTGCAGCGTTCTCACGAGTTTTCGAGAGATCTTCCAGAATGGCAAGAAGGAGGAACGACTTGGCTCGTTCCCGAGGCTACGACAGGAAGAACGGGACGACGGACGAGCTCGAGTTTACACGACGTAGCGACTCGTCTTTCTGTCCGTCGCTCCGCCTTAATTAAATCTCTCGACCCTTCCCGAACAACTCGCGGCTCTAGCGGAGAACTAGAAGTAGAATGGCCCGCCCTTGTCGTTTCTTTGCCCGACTCGCTGTCGCAACGCGTCCGGATTACGAGATTTTTCCCGCTAATTGCCGCGACTGTTCCTGCAAACGGTACCAGGCAGTTCATCGACTATAAATGTAAATGAGGATCTATAATATTTCGTCGATTCAGTTTTCTGTTATAGCCCCAAATATATTTACAAATTTGTTTAGAATTGGTATTTGGCAACACTTATGTAACAATATAATTAATAAATAAAGTTAGATATTAAATTGACGTTCAATTATTGTCAGTTCATAACTTGCGACATAATTTACTCGATTTATTTTAGGTCAAGAATCTTCGAGATTTATTCTAGTTTGGACAGAGCATTGAAATCTTTCAGGGAGACTGATGCAACCTTGCCTGACACGCGACTGCATATTACAATTAATTCCTGAGTGAAATATTCGAAAATTTAAAAGAATCATTTGCACGTATTGCAGAAGTGATTCTTAAGATGACCATCACTCGAGAGTACACGCGTTCATCTTTCGTACAGCGGAGGTGAAATTCGACACCAGCAGATGTTCATATACAGCGATATCGCTGAGCCTCGGAGAGAAAATATCGTCTTTCAGCTCGTATCGCTTTTTAAATGCCGTTTCTCACGCTTCACTGGCTCCAAAGGGCCTTCCCCCCAGTTGTGAGGAACAGAAACGTTCAACTTACGAATCACTACTGTATATCGTCGAAACACCTGAAGAAGACACTTACTATTTAAACGTTCGTAGTCGAAGATACAGCGTAAAATAAAACTAGCATTCTCTATGATTCCTCTCGTTCCGTCTCCCAAAAAGTTCGCGCGAAAACACATAATCTTCCCGGGAAAGAGTGCCAAACGACAATCGTTACGAACGAAAAGTTAACGAATGGTCTTCCCGCCGTATAATGAACGATCGATCTATCACGGGCAGCGTCTTTTCTCAGTCGACCTCTTCGCAAATTCAATACGCCACCATTTTCATGGCTCTAGGTGCCGTTATTCGGTCCGGTAACGAACGTCAAGGGCGACCTCGACGAGGCCGGAAGAGATCTCATTGTCCAGAAGCGGAGGCCACGATAGGAGGGTTGCGCACTGCCGGCAACCAGCCAACTCAAACTTTGATATGGTTTCCTAAATAACCAAGGCGACCGATACCGCAGCACGATAGCCCCCTCCCCCCTTCCACCCAACCCCTCCTCCCACTACCCCTTCCCCACGTCTGCTTCTGCATCCACTCCGATCTATGGCGGGTCCAGGGTGGGTATCGTAACTACTGTCGAAGCATATTGAAACCCTCACACCATCGATGACCTAACTCGACGTTTCCTCGTTCCACCCACGCGCGGGCCGTGGAACCGGCACACCGGTGCCCTTCGCGTGCAAAACCATCGAACAGCGAGTGCGTTTGTCGTTTCGAGCGAAGGTTGCCCGCATGCAGCGCGGTGGATCGACCGCCGACGCTTCTCGGTAACGCGGACCGTGTTTGAGCAATTTGAAAGCGGAGTGACAGGCAATCTGGACGCCCGGACGAGCTAAGAAGAGGAGGGAACGAACCAGGGGGGGGGGCGAAGGGACACGCGTAATGACCAGCAATTTATCCGTACGAGAACGAGCCACGAATTTGAAATTAAAATCTCCCGCGGTCGTAATTACTCGTGGAAACTTGAGACAGTTGAACTCGGAGAAGCCTGTGTGGCAAATTCGCTGGCGACAGGTAGCATTTTAACGAGGAAAATATTAACGGCATTATCGCTCTTCGCGGGCAATTCGATGATGAGTTCATAGGGGTTCTGGAAAATGTCTCTTAATAATTTTGTTGACGAAGTCTCTTATTGGAAGGAATAATATAAACGATGGTTGATTTTTTGGGAATTGAGGGAGTTTTTGTATTAACAATTTTATAATATGAGAATCCATTTTGTTAGAGATTAACACTAGAGTAAATTTTTTACTATTTTTATTAGACCGCTTCGATAGTTTTAGTGTTAAAAAACTTTGTACTTAGAAGGATTGCAAGAAGATCCGAATATTTTTGGAAATTATCAACCTTTTGCATTCCAGGTATGTCTTCCAGAAACACTTCAAAGTATATCTCACTGTTATCTGCTGATTTTCGTACACTCACACGGGTCGTATCAGTTACAGTCCCTCGTCTACTATACGTCTGCATTTTAAAGTGAACCGACTGACGAGAAAAATTTGACCACAGAAGATTGGACAAACTTTTCCAGTCAATGATTAGCAATCTTTGCTTCCTCCACGGCAGGAAGAGGCGGACGATAACGATCGAAAAACGAATTCATGTGCAGGGGGCTTAGAATATCCTCCTCGGGTACCGGCGAGCGGCGAGGCTGTATCTGGAGGTTAACTGTTTGTCCGCTAATTAGAAGCTAACAGCAGAACTAAAGTTCGGAACTTTAAAGTTTCTTGCTTCTGCAGAAACCTCCTACGCCCAGCCGGTACCCTCTTCTTGGGGCGGTGCAGACACCCCCAGAGGCGAACGCCCTATCGTCTTTCCACTCTTCTTCTCTTTCGCTCCTTCGTCCTACGACCGGCTAGCGTTAATTACTAATTAATTGTTTCGCATGTTTGAGTTTTAAATGGATAAGTTAAACAGCGCATAAGAGCCCTGGACGTGTAGAACGGCGAGTCTACCTTCCCCCTTTCGTTCTGCCTCTTCGTCTATCGTTGCGTACCCGGTGCCTCCCTTCTTTTACTCTCGTCTCTTTCACCTCGTCCCATTCCCTTTGCGTACGATTACCGTGCAAACGGTGTACTGTCGGTTAACGAGGTTAGGATGACCGTGTGAGCGAGCGCTGGGGAACCACTCTCGTTCGTTTATTCGTTTTTCACCTCGTCATCAAAACGCTGCAACCCCCGAGTGTGCGTTACATTACATTACTCGTGGGCGCGAAACTCTGATACGGCGATTACGCGAAAAGAAAATTAATTTTCCCGACCAGCAGCGGCGAGGAAGACCTTTGACATTAGATTCGCGTATTTAGAATTCATTTTGACCATAGAGATTACATAATACGCAATTGCGAAGTGCAATATTTTTGTTTGAAACTTGAAGTAATTTCTGTATACAATGTGAAAAAAGTGGAGCGAGTTTGCAATGAAAAGGAGAAAATTAAATGTAATAACAATTTTGTACGAGACAATCTGTGAATCTATTAAATTTTTCATAATTAAACAATCAATAAGTTGCTCGTGTATTAACCCTTGTGTGAACAACCAAAGTGCTCACGGTTGTTGAGCAACCAGGGTACCCTATAATATCCCTTTCATACTTTCCCTAAACTCTTACTTTTCCCTTCCTATAACATATCAAACACTGTTTTAAACGATTTGAGCGAAAAAGTTACTGGAAACTGCGGTGTAATTTCATGGTAAAATCAATCGTTTATATAAACAAGAATACGCATTCAGGAAACGAACTAGGGGACGAAACTAACAGTAAGTAAAATGTTCTATGGAGTTTCATCCTGAAACGCACATTGTCTTCGTTTACAATTTCTAAAAGTGAAATTTGGGGGGAAGAATTTCTTTTTCTATCCATTAAAAGTCAAATCTCGAACGTGCTAAACATTATCCTCATATTATTTTTATTTTGTATGTTAATAACAACCAACATTAATAAAGAAGTTTGAGGCTTCAATATTTAAAATTGTTTGCATAAATATTTAGTTGGAAAACGTAAATCGACATAAAAGTGACGAAAATGAAAATCCAAGGCTGTTTTGCAATATTTTCACAGGGATATAAAACGCCCAGTTGCTTTTATAAGGGTTAAATATGATTCTCAGCTATCTATGAATTTGTATCTCGTTGTTGTGTCAACCTTATTCATCGCGCAGAAGCTCTTTACGTACACAAATTGATGTTTCGTATTATTCTCACCTTCCCCGGTCGAATTACTAAACTCGTAGGGCCGAAATCCCCGATGATTCGGTCGTGTCGCGAGTCTACAAATCGTTTTACCTCAATCTTGCGTCAAGGGAGCGGAACGGGGGGACGGTTTACCCCTCAAAAGTGGAACGAAACTTCCCACAGCCGTAATCGGCGCTCAAATAAAAAGGCGTAATGCCAGATAAAGCATCCCATTTGTCTAACGACGATTTTTTTTTTCCTCCGTTCTGTGTACCTTCTCTCCTCCGCGAGTGTCAGGGGCTGGGGGATGAATCGGGGTGGTAATCATCTTAAACACCATTGTCACAGACACCTCGTGTAGGCCGGTTGCCACTCGGTGCCACGCCACCTGATTCTTCAGTAATTGAGATGGATCGATAAGGACAACCCCCCTCCAAGGGCAAAAAAAGGAAGCGGGCAGAGTCGAGGGCGCTGCTTTTTTAATTCAATGAGCTAATGTACCGACAGTTACATTAATGGTGTCCCTGGGGCGTCGCTCTTTTTCACGGTGCCAAGGCTTTCCCTTGCAAATTCAGAATTCAGAATTCGGAAATCGATTGACTTTGCATACTGCAATGTCCTGCAGAATTATGAATTATGAATTGTATTATGAATTAACTGCGTAAGTGATTAAAGCAGGAGAACGGAGGGGGAATAGGAAACACCTGTGGACCCTGTTTATTTTTCATTTGGGTTTTCTTTATGGAATACTATAGCACTCTAGGAGCCTGAATGAGAGATTTTAAAAAAATACGAAAATGTAACTTTCGATAGTTGTTCGATGATCATCATAGTTTTATAAAATAGAATGAACTCTTGATATATTATACAAATGCTCACATACATATAAAGACCTATAAGATTTACGTGTTTATAGTTCAGACGTTAACTATTTAAAATTCGGTTCACATTCGACAAAATTGTACTCCGTATTACTTTCATCAGATTTGTTAATTATAAACGATACTTGGATTCAACGAATCGAATAAACGAGACCTAATTATTACTTACTCTTATAAAAAATTCTAGAATGTAGAGTATTCGAGTCAACGAGAGAATTATTAATTTTTTATCAAAGTGCAACACCAAGGGAAGCTCATTCGATGCTCGACGCGGAAGATCGGTGACGCGAAACGGGGCAGTCGAGTTCGAGTCACATTTAAATCGAGTGATAGGTAGGAGCTTCCATCGAGAGTAAATAATGAAGCCGGAATAGACTGCGGAGGCACGGGGCCAGGAATAAATCTCGAATAATCGGAAAACGGGCCGTCGAAATCGAGGTCTGTTATTGACTGGCGTGCAGGAGCTTAGCAGGGTTGGAAAAAGAGGAAGCGGAGGAGAGAGCGTTGGGGCAGAAAGGTGGTAAACAAGAGTATGGGACGATTCGGTGTCTTAACCGGACGACGGGGGGCGACAATTATTTACCGGGGGCGTCTAGTACGACGTTCTAGCGCGACGCTACCATTGCGTCGTCGACGAGAGGCGAGAGTCCGCGGCTGTTAATTGCTGGCTGTCAGGGGCACGCAGTGACACGGACCGCCGTTACCGAGGGACTGGCTCGTCGAAGGCTTCGCACGCGTTTACCAAACCCTCCGTTCTGGGGAGGAAACGCACCAAACGACCGATGCTGGACTTGGACCACTTTTCTCTCCTGTCTATCTTGATACGACCTTCGCAAGACACGTTCATTCGATATTCGCTACTTCTAAATGCATTACTAATTTTATTTGGAGGCACGGGAAATTATTATTTGCAATTCCATTCTACGATCTTTAGAAAATTACAAAAATTAATTTAAAAATCTCTATAATATAAATCAAAATACGTAAATATTTATATCTGTCGGAGAAGCAACTTCATCAACCATTGCTCTTGGACTACTTCTATCAGGTCCTCTTGAGCGACCAAGTCTTTGTCTTGTCACTCTTTTCATTTTGGTTGAAACTTCTAACTGATTAAATTTATAAAGGTATCGACAACATAATTATATTTATTCAACGTGAAGTAACATGAACTTCGATAATAAAAACTTTCTAATGTATTACGACATATAAATAGAATCGTAACCTGGTCTGTAGCTGTACAATTGGTCTATTTTAACTTAGGTTTACAGTTTATAGGGTTCGTTTTTGTTCGTACTAGGTTAACTTAAATTCCACTAAATCGATTATAATTAAGTCACCATGGAGGGTTAGGCAATTGAGACATGTCTTTAACACTTTGATTACCACCCATATTTGGATGACAGGATTTCCTCACTATGGAACTAGAAAAATTAATTCTCAAGTTGTGAACGTTAAGGGAAATTTACGAATTTTAGCAATGTTAACAAAATAAGTCCCGAAACAAATTCTAGATTATGTTAGGAACTTGGCGAGGTTTACGATACGGTCGCTTGTGAATACCGCTATTTTTGAGGATAGCTAATTTCAATTCGCTTGTTAATAGTTACAGCTAAACGAGGAGTCAGGGCCCTAAAGAATCATTACAAAATTGAAGCAATTAGGAAGGGCCCTGCTCCGTCGTCCTCAATAGCGATTGACGTGTCATAAACCTTACAACTAGTCGCGCGGTCGAGTAACGACCTTAGTACCTGGGCACGGTCCCCGGTCGGGTGTTAGGAATTTTCCATTTCCAGGGAGGTCTAGTTTGTACCCCAACTGGTGGGCGGCAACCTAGACTAGGCGATTTTTGGAAATCCAAACCCCGACCAGGGACGTCGACCGATTGGTCAGGTCCTTCACGCCTCATCGGCAATTTTAGTATATAAGAAGAACATTGGAAGAGTTTAGTTAGATTAGCAACAGAATCATAGTTAGAAACGTTACTGTAATACTTATTGAATTCAATAAACACCAAATACACAACCACTAATTTCCTTCAAACGAAGGTGGTCCTTCGAGTTTTGTATTAGTCGGCACACACGTGCAAACTCAACAATTTCCGAACGAGCAACACTCGACCACGGAAAGAACATTGGTCCTTCGAGCCGGATTTGGTAGCAGCAGACATAGCAACGGTGGAATTGGAATTCAATACAAAGGTTTAGTGACACTAGAACCGAGGATTCTTCATTGGAAGGAGGATCTTCACAACAGCAGATTGGATCTGATGTAGCAGAATCTCCCAGCATTCATCGTCGGAGATTTGCAACTTGCAACAAGGAATCACACAATTGATTCCCACAACCACATTCGTCGATCACTGAACAATCTCTTGGTGAGAAATCGTCCAAATTCCGCGGAGAACCTGTGGCAGCCAAAACAGCATTCAGGATAGAGGCAGTGCACGTCATCTTCGAAGGACGTACTCCACCTGAACGAGATAGCAACGTTGTCGCAGGAGACAATATCAACGGTCAACAGCGTACCTGGACAAGACGAGCCAGCATCGCCATCTCCGTCAATTGTTCCCTATACTGTAAGTCTCCTTTCAATTTCTAATTGCAAAGAATAGTGTATAAAATGGACAGTCAATTGAAAGAACTCGCTATGGAACGCGGAAGAATCAAGTCTGCCTTGACTCGCTTTAGGAATTTTTTCGATTCGTCCGCGAACACCACTAGTATAGAAATTCTCGAAAAACGTTTAAAATTAAACGAACCCTTACACGACAAATTTGATGAAATACAATCGCGAATAGAGACATTAGCAGTAGGATCGGATATTGAAACAATTCATGCAAAGGAACGGGATGAATTTGAAGTGGCGTACTTTGAAATTATTACGAGAGTCGAACAACATATTGCACAATTCCGTAGAGCTAGATCAACGCCAATTTCAAGCTCGTCCTCGCCCGCGATTAAGGAACCACCGATCACGCCGCGATTACCTACAATAGTTTTACGCGAATTCAATGGGGATTATAACGATTGGTTGCGTTTCCGTGACACATTTGAGTCATTAATTCATAATAATGAAACGCTATCGGATATACAGCGATTTCATTATTTGAATTCTGCATTGAAAGGACCCGCGGCTAGAGTCACACAATCTTTGGGTGTTTCTGAGGCAAACTATCGGATTGCATGGTTTGCTCTAAAAAATAGATTTGAAGACCTTAGGTCATTAGTTCATCACCATACCAATGCGTTATTGGATCTACCGATCATGCAAAAACAAACTAGTTCGAGTCTCCGAGAATTCATCGATACGGCAAATAACCACATTCGTGCATTGGGTGCTCTCGGTGAACCGGTTCAAACGTGGGATACCTTGCTTATTTCGATCCTTAGCAAAAAATTAGATCCATTCACGGCTAAAAAATGGGAAGAACGCGTAGTCACTATGCCAGGAAGGCTCAAGCTACACGATTTAGTGGATTTCCTTGAGCAGCAATCAAAACTGCTCGAACACACAACAACCAATCGACAACCAACCGTAAATTTCCCAAAACTTACGAACAAAATAGATACCACTAAACCAAGAATTAAAACTCAATTCGGTGTAGCCTCTCACCTTGCAAGTACGCAAGTTCAATGCATATTTTGCAAGGGAGAACATTGGTTACAATATTGCGATAAATTGAAAGCGATGCCTCACGCTCAATTACACGACACCATTAAACGGTTGCAATGCTGCTTTAATTGTCTGCAATTGGGACATAGCATAAAAAATTGTACACGCGGACATTGTAGACGGTGTGGAAAAAAGCATCATACGCTTTTGCATCGAGATGATGCTACTTCACAGACGCGCGAACCATCTCACTTAGACTCTCAAGCAATCGCTAGCACATCTCAAGTACAATCATGTTTGTCAGGCTCAAAAACGCCCGCAATAGATTTCACGGTCCTCTCTACAGCATTGATACATATTGAAGATTCATTCGCGAAAAGTCACGAATGTTGTGCATTATTAGACGCGGGCTCACAAGCCCATTTTATAACCGAGGATTTGTGCAGTAAGCTAAGACTTCCATTAAAATCTACCGCGACGACCATTGGCGGTGTCGGTAGATCGATTAACCCTATTAACTCTCGGACAGAGGTAGTCATACGGTCAGTGTGTAATACTTTCAAATCAAACTTGTCGTGTTTAGTGATCGAAAATATAACCGAGAACATGCCAAATGTGCCGCTCAATCGTTCAAATATTCCGATACCTGACGGAATCACAATAGCCGACCCTCATTTCAATGAGCCAAAACGAATCGACTTGTTAATAGGTGCCGGACTTTTCTGGCAGCTATTATGCATAGGCCAACACAAGGTTGGAAACGGATTAGTATGGCAGAAAACTCGCTTCGGTTGGGTGTTGGGAGGCAGCCTGAGCTGGCCAATAAATTATCCGATAGTCAACGTCAACACGTGTCATATCGCGAACGACGAATTGCACCGGGCAATTTCTAGATTTTGGGAGATAGAAGACGGGCACTCGAATCAATTAGAAGCCAGTAACCATCTAGAAGACTCGGAACGACATTTTACAGACACAACGATACGCGACAATAACGGGCGCTACGTAGTAGGGATTCCATTCAACGCGCAAGTTAAGGAACTCGGAGAATCCAAGGCACAAGCGACAAATCGCTTAATGTCCATAGAAAGAAAATTCGCGAGACAGCCCGAATTGTATAGACAGTACGTAGACTTCATGGACGAATACGAAACCCTTGGACATATGACACGTGTTGATGAAAATTCGAATATTACAGAAATAGAATTGCACGGATTTTCAGACGCGTCGGAGAAGGCATATGGCGCGTGTTTGTACCTACGATCACTAGACATCGATAGTACTTGGACTGTCCGATTGTTATGTGCAAAATCTCGAATCGCTCCGTTAAAGAAGTCCACAACAGTGCCGCGATTGGAACTTTGCGCGGCCCTTCTCCTCGCTCAATTAGCATCTAAGGTAAAAAATGCTCTCCGCATAGAGATAGACAAGAAACACCGTTGGTCGGATTCTATGATAGTTCTAGCATGGATTCAAAGTCAACCCTCTAGATGGAAACCATTCGTAGCCAATCGCACATCCGAAATTCGATACTTGACAAATGCTGAGAGTTGGTCACATGTAATTTCCGAAGAAAATCCCGCGGACGTAATTTCGCGCGGTTCAAGTCCCCTTTTGCTAGCAGGTAACGAACTTTGGTGGTACGGGCCGAAATGGTTAATGCAGGAGGTCGAGCAATGACCTACTGCACCTATGACGGTCCAAAATATACCTGAGGAACGACAACATCAGACAAACTGTATTGTAACAGATACGACACTCTTAGACAATTTCGACATTTTTACGCGATACTCATCCTATTCGAAATTACGCCGAATAGTCGGTTACTGTTTATATTTCATTCGAATCCTCAAAGATCGGATTCAAAGACGTGAAACGTGTAGCACGACCACATTATATGAGACAAATAGAAAATCATATAATTTATCCGCAAACGATCTTATACTGGCTGAGAGAATCTTGGTTAAAATTGCCCAGAGGGAATGTTTCAGCGCAGACTTAAAGGCGTTGAGACACAACAAACAGGTTTTAGCTAAACCAATCCTAGCATCGCTTAATCCGTTTCTGGATAAAGACGAACTAATTAGGGTGGGCGGTAGACTCGTTAACGCATCCATAACATATGATCAGAAACATCCAATGATATTGCCATCAAATCATCCATTGACCTCATTGATTATTGAACACGAGCACCATAGATTACTACATGCTGGGTGCCAGCTAACACTTTCGTCCTTACGCAGACGATTTTGGCCATTGTCAGGGAAACGCACCGTAAGGGGAATATTGCACCGGTGCGTCAGATGTTTTAGAACGAATCCCAAAGGCGAAAGTTACCTTATGGGAAACTTACCTGCTGCACGAGTGACACCAGCACGGGCTTTTTCTACCTGCGGTGTAGATTACGCAGATCCATTTTTAGTCAAAGAAAGGGGACGCGCACGAATCACTCGTAAAACCTACATTTGTATTTTTGTATGCTTTGTGACAAAGGCTGTGCATATTGAACTTGCCACAGACCTGAGTAGTGACGCATTCCTCAATTGCCTGCATCGTTTCATGGGTCGCAGAGTTCGTAGCCAATGTATCTATTCCGATAACGGGACTAATTTCATCGGAGCTAAAAATCAATTAAACGAATTAGGAATACTGCTAAATAGTAAAACACATAAGGACCGCATACAAGGTGTCCTAACCCAAGAACAAATGCAGTGGCATATGATCCCACCTCATGCACCGCATTTCGGCGGTTTATGGGAAGGGGCGGTCAAATCAGTCAAAACACATTTAAAGCGAGTCATAGGCGAACAAAATTTGACTTTCGAAGAATTATACACTATTCTTGTGCAAATAGAAGCTTGTTTGAATTCCCGTCCCCTCCACCCTTTGTCCAACGATCCTAAGGATTTAGCGCCACTAACTCCTAGTCATTTTCTAATTGGCGATGCAATTACGGCACTTCCACACCCAGATCTAGCCCACGTGAAACAAAATCGACTGAATCGGTATCAACTGATTCAATATACTATCCAGCATTTTTGGAAACGATGGCATCAGGAATATTTGCACGAACTACAGCAACGCCATAAATGGCAAACAAATTCACCTGGTGCCATCAAAATCGGAACCTTAGTTGTCATCCGCGAAGATAATCTCCCCCCTCTTCGATGGCGTTTGGGACGAATCATAGAAATCCACACCGGTTCCGACAACGTAGTTCGAGTGGTCACGTTAAGGGTAGCCGACGGTCTAATTAAACGACCCGTAACAAAAATTTGTCGTCTTCCTATAGCTGAAGAAAGTCAGAAATAGAAATCATTCGCCCACGTGTACATCTTGTATATATATGTATATGAATATATCGACCTAACGTAAAATAAGTTAGAATAGTGTAGGATCAGGAAAGTGATAAATATTAACAAATTAAACGGAATATAATTAAACCAAACTTTAACACTTTAAACTAAACAGCCATTAATGTTACACGTCGGTATTCTTAAATGTACGTCTTCGCGTTTCGACCTTCGCCATTCGACTGACTATCGATGTTTATCATCGCTTGGCCCGTTGCGATGATAAACATCTCATCAATGCACCCTTGCTCCGCGACGAGCTTCGGCCCGGTCAAGCCACGTACACAGGTACTCGCCGATGCACCCTGCTTCTCCCCTTTCTACACTCCCCTCCCTACACTCGGCCATCCTGTTCTAGCATCTGTCCTCAGATGCTGCATCTTCAGGATCACTTTCTTCGCTGCTCATGTCGTGGTCTACTTGGGCCCACGGTTTCATGTAGTCTGCTACAGTAGTTGTCTGTTTCGGCCCTTCTTGATCCCCAATCTTCTCGACCACATATCGGTTATTTCGCAACGTTTTTATAATTCGGTAGGGACCTAGATATTTCGCTGCCAACTTCATACCAGGTCCCGTTTGCGTTCGCTTGATCGCTACTAATTCGTTATCATGATAGGTCCGTGCTTCTTTTCTCTTTTTGTTGTATGTCTTCTGATTTTCCCTTTGAACCTTCGCGATATTTTCCCTGGCCTCCATTCTTTCTTCATCCCGTTTCTCCTCAAACATCGCCGCCCACTCCTGTTCCAACATCTCTCTGATTGGCGCATCGTCTCTTGTCCGCATCCGTGTTCCAAAGAACAATTGAAACGGTGTTGTATTTATACTTCGGTGATGTGTTGCGTTGATATATTTCTGCACCGCCTCTAAATACCTGTACCACTCCTCCGGTTTAGGTGCGGCTAATTTTGTAAGTATTGGGATGAGTGTTTTATTGACCCGCTCCACTTGTCCGTTGCCTCGTGGAACTCCGGTCGCGATAAGCAGATGTTCAATCTTTTCCCTCGCACAATACTCCCTAAACTCTCCGGATGTGAACGCAGTACCTCTGTCAGAGATAATACGCCGTGGATTTCCAAACGTAGTTGCTTGTTTTTCGAGGTGTCGCACTACCTCGCTGGTGTTTGTCGTTTTCGTTGTATAGAGCCAGACGAATTTGGTGAACGCATCAACGATGACCAGAATGTGATGATAACTTTTTTTTGTTGATGCCAGAGGTCCTAGGTGATCGACATGGAATGTGTCGAGCGGAGCCTCTCCCTTATTTATTGGTGTAAGGAAGCCGTCCTGTTTTCCTGTCTTCCTTTCTGCCAATATACAATCGATACAATTCCTTACTGTTTTTTCGATCCTGGGTCTCATGTCTTGGAACCAGTAGTCTCTCTTCAACGCTGTTTCCGTCTTAGCCACCGAGAAGTGTCCTTTCTCATGCATTCGCCGTATAAATTGTGACTGCAAACTTCTAGGGAGGACCACACGAATGTCATCATCTACTACCTTGAAAAGCACCCCACCTCTTACCAGATAACCGTCTATCTTCCCCTCTTCGGCCAACTCCAAAATTCTCCGCACTTTTTCGTCCTCTTGCTGCGCTCTCCGTATTCTTTCCGTCATACCCCTTTCGTCCTCACTAATAATTAGGCATGTTGGCAAAGGGTGCCTGCTTAATGCATCGACGTGTGCCATTCGGTTGCCGGACCGATGCTCAATAACATAATCAAACTCTTCCAATGACAATGCCCATCGCGCCACACGCATACACAAATCACGCTTGCTCATTGTTAACGAAAACGCTTTACAGTCTGTTACAATCTTAAAACGAATCCCTAATAAATAAACTCGGAACTTTTTGAGTGACCGTACAACCGCAAGGACTTCCAGTTCATAGCTCGAGTATTTCGCCTCCGCTTGCGTTGTTTTCCCGCTCGCAAAATGCACCGGATGCATCTCCCCGTCGTCGTCGCTACGCTGTAATAAAACCGCTCCAAAACCGAACATTGACGCATCGGTATGCAGTTCGGTTTGCGCTCCTGCTTTGTATAATTTAAGCACAGGCTGTCTACATAAACTGGCCTTTAGCTCCTCGAATGCTTCTGTTTCCCCGGAACCGAATGTAAATTTTATGTTCATCCGCAGCAAATTCGTCAACGGCCTTGCGATTAACGAATATCCTTGTATAAACTTGCGGAAATACCCGGTTAAACCTAGGAAGCTTTGTACTTGCTTGACGCTCGTCGGCTTCGGGAATCTTTGAACGGCAACCAATTTACTTTCAGACGGACGAACACTGCCGTTTTCAATAACGTGACCGAGAAATTCAACTTTCGTTTGTAATATTTTACATTTTTTCCAATTAATTTCTAATCCGGCGTTCCTCGCCACCATTAATACCGTTCCGAGATTCCGAATTCCGCTTATAACATCACCCGTTGGTACAATCAAATCGTCCACGTACACTAACACAATTCGTCTATTGATGAGTTCTCTAAAAACCGCGTGAATAAATTTCATAAAAACAGCAGGTGAATTACACAACCCAAACGGTACACGCAGAAATTCATACTGTCCGTCAGGTACAATAAATGATGTGAATTTACGACTATCTTCGCTTACCGCCACGTGAAAGAAACCGTTCCGCAGATCAAGCGTACTGTACACTTTAGCGCCCTGCAATGCATCCAATTGGTCCTCCACGAGCGGCAAAGGGTACCGATCTTTCACAATTTTTTCGTTTATTTTTCGGTAATCGACACACAAGCGCGCCGAGCCGTCTTTTTTCTTTACCATCACGATGGGACTTGCGTATTCAGAGAGCGATGGCTGTACAATACCGTCTCGCAACCACTCGCTAATCTGCACATTGATCTTTTCTCTCTCTATCGGAGCTAAACGCCGCGCTCTCTGAAAAACAGGCTCATCATCCTTCAATATGAGACGCATTTCTACATCTACCTCACTTGTCTTTTTGGGGACGTAACCGTCGATCATTGCCCGGACCCTTCGCCTGATCGTGTCGTCCCTAAGATGTGCCAAATCTACACCAGACCCATTTTCGTCGCATTCAATATGGAATATTTCTGGCACGCCCTCAGTATCGATGGAGTCCTGCTTCGCTTTTCCAATTGTGACTACGCCTTGCCTTACTGTAAGATTCACCGAATTTAAAAAGTCCGTTCCTATAAGTAAATCATATTTTAACAGTGAGTCCGATACTACATTTATTCCAACAGAGTAAGGGTTGCCGTCGACATGGAGATTCGCTATGAATTTGCCTAGCGTCCTATTTACATCTGTTCCGACACCTCGAAACACTATTTCACCCGCTTCCAA